AAAAAAAAAAAGAACTCAGAAAGAAATCTTCAATGTAATATACAATAACCCATAGTTGGCCATAGGCTATTGTATAAGCGCAGACAAAATCAACGTTTAGCGCAACTTCCAAGTTGATTAAATGAGAACGGTTACACTGGAAACAATTCTCCATGTAAGGATCACGAAATAAGAGATGCACAAAACAAAACAGCTCCCCTACCGAATAATACGGAATTTTTCAATTTTTTTGCTATGGTTATTTTTGAATGGGAAATTTGAACTGGAAAAGGAGATGATGGTTCGGTGTTAAGAGCTACAAGAAGAGGGTATAAAATGTCACCTATGCAAAAGGTTATTCGAGATACCTGAACTGTGCCTGTAGTATCATACTCATCCGTTGATGAACAACTATTTGAATTTCTAGTTCTTTCTTTCAAATCAAATTCCGGCTTTGCGAGAGCACAAATCGCTCGTGTGCAATCGAGTCGACTGGGCGATCGCTCTTGCAGTAAACGATCAATCGTAGCGGTCGGATTCTGAGTTGTATCACGCAAGTACATCCATAAAGCTTGTGAAACTTGTGTCCATCCTGCTGAAGTTGAGCGATCGAAAGAAACGCCGTTCAGATGCCGTGAACTGTTAGCAGCGATTAACGGTTGCATTAATGGTTGCTCTAAGCACTGCGTATCTTTTTCCATAATGCATTCAACATTTATCCGCGAAAATAGATGCTTTGAAGATGCATTTTCCGGATCTGGAACCATGCTGAAATCACACATCGAAGAACTTGATAGACTGGTGGTAGAGGACGACGAGCAACATGGAATGACGGCGAACGCTTGAGAAGGATTATCGGGTAAAGGTGATGGTTTGCAACGATTCGAAGCTGAGAATAAGAATTGAGGAGCACCAGTTGCAAAAGAATTAGAAAATAAGTAGAGTTGTAGCTGATTTAAAAGTTGACATATCGTCTCAAGTTTGAAATCTTCTTCCAGCAATGAAGAATGGGAATGAGAGGACATTAAAGAATTAGATTTTGAGAAGAAAGGAGAAACTGAACGTGTCGAAGAAAAATGATTCTGAGAAGGTAACTGAATTGTACGGTGATGAAAATCTTTTTGGAGGAATTTTGAGAGTAATGAAGCTTCAAATAATCGTTGTAAATGATCCAAAGGTATCCGTTTTTCGGCCTCACCAGCACTTGGAGACGGCAAGTACGTTCGTAACAATAGTTGGCAGTGTTGTTCAGATTCTGAACTGGAAAATGGCTGTTCCATCAGAAAGTCAGATTCGTTTTCTGGCAATGGAAGCGGCACATCTGAAACTGCTAACAGCAACATATCTTGATATCTTCGCAAATACAGAGGTGACCACTCGTGACGTGAGTTGAATTGGTCACGAATATAACAAGAAACGTTTACAAGCTTCAGACGATTTGTTCGAAGCTTTTGTTGTTTCCGACGAAAATGATTCTTCGCAACAATAGATGATGAATCACAGATCTGAACTTCAGAATCGATGTTCCGTTCACTTGTAAGTCCAAAATCAGAGGACTGATATTGCTGATTCGGTTGATGTGTATGCTGATGTTGAGCTCGAGTTAGATCTCGATCATAACCTTCGAATTCCTCAGGTTTTATTTCGATGAACGATGACGAGTAGTAGGGTTCGTCGAAGAGGCGAGGAACAGATTCAACGTACTGTCCGATATCTTCTTGTTCTTTCAATACTTCACAAAATTTTATCTTTTCACTCACTTCTTCAAGCAAGTGATCAACTGTTTGAATAGACTGCTGCTTCTTTTTGACATCAGCAATCTCGAACTGCATAACCTCGATGGTGTTCAAACAGCGTTCGTCATCATTTTGGGGGTGGTATTGGATGGGTGGGAGGGCCCTACAGCCGAACTGGTAGAACACATCCAACAATATCGATAATTGTTGCTGACAATCGGTTGGTTGATCGTTCGTAAGAAGGCGGAGGGAGTTGAATGAAGTGCGAAAGACGGTCAGATAGGTATGTAGGCGGCTTACGAGGATCGGTGGATGGTTGGATGGCTCTTCGTATGTGCACAGTTAATAAATTAAACATAGTACGAGCACGAATACGACCATGAGCAAAAACTGCCACAATTACTATCCAAAGAGGGTGGTGCTTATCTCAACACTTCTAAAATAATAATGATGATACTGACAAAAATTTTGTCCGCATTGAATAAGCAAGCTAAGGGCATGCACTTCTCAATTATGCTCTACTATTGTAATTTTGTATTTACATGATTACGTCACACTACTGTTCACCATTCAATACGATCAAGTATATGGTGAATCAGACTCTGTCTGCTACAGTCTATCCGTCACATCGGAGTCCTCTGCGAGTTGTGTCTGTTTGGATGGCAAAAACTGCCTGATGAGTTGAGTTTTGTTAACCTCAATCGTAAGTAGTCAGTTGATCAGTCTGAGGGACGAGGACCTTATTCAGCTGCAGCTTAACAAACGTTCTCTCCAACCAACCACTCAGATTGATCTGCAATCCTGTTTCGCTCTAATAACATTTCTTTGCAACGATATTCATATTCGAAACTCTTCACGACTTTTTGGAAGTGTAGGGAAAGCTTTTGCTGATTTCATGAAACGACCTGTTGCATGCAATAACAAAATCTCGTCTAATCGCTGCTGATGATTTGATCAAGGCATAACAGCGTTTATTTTTCGGTTAGACTACATTGCCGAATTCATCAATAAATTTTTCTGCATTAGTAGTGTCAGCATTTGACAACTTTCCCCGCAATTAAGTTGATGTATTGCGAAGGTTCCATTGGCAGCCGAAACCAGCCGAAAAATCACTGTGCTGGGCACGACAGAAAGCAAATACAGCATAGGTGCATTCAGTTTTCTTCTCTTAACATTACACTAATCAACGTTGAGACCCGTTCCCTTTGCTACTTGAATCGACTACAAACGGTTCAGTAATATCAATAAGTTCAGTAATATCGCTCATTGTAAACAATCTCCTCATTAATCGACCGCTCGAATGCGTGAGGATGACTGAATCTGCTGCTAGCGTTGACAACAGTTTACTTTTACAGAGAATTTGAAGCAGCCTGTATCTGTGGTGGTAGTAAATTAGTGAATGTTTACAAAAGTTTTTTCATGGTCGCTGCGTTTATGTCATCATCGATTTGTGTCACCGTAATGTCATTCGGAATTGTTTCCATCGTTCATCTAATTACACTCATCGCAAAAGTAACAATTTTCATTGAATCATTGCTATCAAGAGGAGAAGACGCTCGAATGTTTGAT